GGTGTCTAACTGATCTGAGCTGTCGTGGGGCTGTGGCTTCATGTGGTAGGAAGTTGATTATTCCTACGTGCCATCCTCGAGCTCAGCATTTTAGGCGCAGAAAGAGAGACAAGGTGGGTGCATGCATGTGTGCATATAGGAACGCGTGTACGTGATTAGGCACATCTGTGTAGGCAAATATAACAACAAACCGTTTTCTGCAAAAAGATGGGGGATGGGATCTTGGGTGCATGTGCACTACAGTGAGGCAATCGTAGATGTCTGTATTGGTGTGTGTACAAATGCGCGTACGTGTTGGAAGGCTAATTTTACATACGTGTATGCATGGTTTGTATTTACAGCAGCTAAGGAGAGAGAAGGCTGCTCTGCGTCAGAATAATTTAGCATCCAGATGTGCAGATGCCGGGGGAAATCAATACAGATGATGAGTCTCCCAAGCAGGTGATGAGCATGCTGTCATAATGCAGTAAGGATGGAGATGGATTAATATTTAACAGTAATCTGGACTGAACAGATGGGCGTTGATAAGAAAAAATTGAGAGGTGTGAGCGCGAGTTCATATCAAGGATAAATATTCACAGAAAATTGTGTTATATCAATCAGAACAACTTGCAATCATCTGGTTAATTACTTTGTGCGCGCAGGATATCAATAAAACACTAATTGGGTACTTACCAAGAGTAAGCATAAAGGAAGAATGAAAAAAAGAGGTGTGAGGTGATTTTTGGAAGCAAGAGGCAATAAATTACACTTTAAGTACTTCTTGGAGAACCTATTTTGTAATTACAGGGTAGATATAGGAAGGTAATTATTAACATAAACAGATGCATTTTTCATTTACACTACTGTTGTAGCCTTTACTCAGTCATTTGGTATAGCCTGGAATTAGAGATGTGTGTCTTTTTTAGTCTATAACCATAAAATTGTTCTTTGTTTCAAAGGCCATATTTATGTTTTTTATATCATCATTAAATAACGCAGGAGAAAGTGTTGTTCTGTGTTTTTTATTTATTTAGAATGCACTTAATAACTGTGCATGGTTAAAAAATGCTTAATGTTTAACTGTTCATGAACTTTTCCCTGTAAGTATACTGAAGTTAAATTTAGGTTCTACACAGGTTCTACATGTTTGTTTGATGTATGATATATAGTAATTATTAACTTCACATTCATATCACTGAGTATCCAGTAAGGACTTTCTTGATTATAGTCTACAGCCTTCATCTTGTTATCCTGATCTTGTTTTTTGAAATGATTGGATTACATTAGTGATCAGATTACTTAAACGGAAGCTTTCCTCAGATGACAGGGCAGCATAATAAAAATGGATTAATGCTTGCGATGAATGAATTTAAAACATGTAATAATACATTTTTGCACGCGTTAACTTCTTCGCGTTACAGACTGCAGGGACTTCCATGCGGCTCTGCTGACCTTCAGCATGAAATGAAAAGTGTCTGATGCCTCTGGTGTGTTTGGAGGGGCTTTCTCTTTTCCAGAAGATAGGCAGCCATGCATTATTGATTACAAAACACTCCTGCAATGCTATTTCATCTTTCTGGCGTGGCTGACCGTGAATTGAGCTTTATTTTAGAGTAGTTGAGATCTGTTTTATATCAGTACAAGGACTTTTTTTTTTCCAGCAGTTGCGTGTACTTGTTTGTACAATGTTGCCCCCCCTCACCCATTCAAAACCACGTGGGAGTCTAAATGGGAGATATGCAAAAAAAACAACTGCCTTATCTTCTCCGTGTCCCTGTGCACAGTACACTGACAGACAATTGAAAGACAAAGGTACACAGAGGAAAGCCAGTGTGGTGCAATGAGAGGGTGAAATCCAATCTAATGGTTATCACACCAACTGCGTCTCATCTAACGACATTTCGTTGACATTATTTTGAGCCTCATGACATATATCTGTTCCACTTAGGCACCTTGTGTTTGCATCATGCACACATTGCACAATCTTTGTATATGTACTATGTCTGATACTGCCCTGCTTTCAAATGCTTGCTTTATCCTCATAGCATGTACGTTGCTTTCTGAGTTTTCTGACACTCTGTTCTGTTCTGCTGGTGTTATTTTGCACTACATGCCTGCCGGATAGCAACACCTCATCTTATGAATTCTAGTGTTTCAGACTGTGAAATGTTAAATATTCATTTAGCCGAATTCTTACGAATGTTCCATATTTTTATGATTCGCCTCCTCGCAGCTGCAGACTTTCACATGCAACAATCATTCAGAAGTCCCTCGTCCTTTGGATGTGTTTTGAATTTTCACAGTAAAACTAAACTACAGGATTTTTTTTTTTGTTTTGCTTTTCTTTTCCGTGCAGAAAAGCTTGCTTTCTAGAGCAGTGAACCAGCCATCCAGAGAGGGTTGCTGAGCGATGGCCTTACCTCCCCGGTCCCCCGCCGAGGATGGTCACAGGGGAAGATGCCCATGGCGACCACGGCTGTCAAACGCTGTTTCCATGATGCCAAAGAATGATTGGTTTCATGGATCCGGACAGTGCTCTCTGACAGCACAGGGGGAGTCTCGGCTGCACCTGGGAGAAGAAACACTGGCAGCATGTGAAATGTTACTGAACAGGGTCATTGCAAGGGTCATCGTATGACCTGTCACCCCCCCCCCCATCCTTCCCCGTCGTCAAGGAATTTACAGCCAGGCCTCGTGCTACATGTTGAGAATATTAGGTCTGAATTTATCCTTTGTTTGAGCCTGAGTTATAGTCTCTGTGTGCTTTCTGTGAGGCTGTGGTGAATCTGCAGACAACAATGTCTTGGTTTGAAAAGTGAAACAGCAAGGACACCGCTCCTGACAGCTGACGCTTCTGTGAATAGTCTTTTGTCATTAAAGTTCAACTACAGCGGCTGACAGCTAAGAAATCAAGGTTTAAATCTTTAATTGGGAGGGAGTTATTCACAAGATACCTAATTTGCGAAGTGCTGCAAACAAGCACCGCATTTCCAAGTCTGACTCATGTCTAGCCCAGTCTGTGGAAAAGCACTGCCAGTGCCATTGATTGTCAGTGGGGTTTTTTTTTTTTTTTTGGTGAGGCTTGTTAAGCATGAATGACAAAGCAAGTGATGGGACCCAACGACAGCAGCTCCCTCACTTTATTTTCCCTCGCAGCGTGTTTTTATCACAACGTGGCTTTAGCATATCTCTTAAAGATGTGGTCTTCCTGAGAATCCCACTGCCCCGAGCCCACGACAGTTTTAATGATTGATCACTTTCCTCTTGACTGTGGTGAAAGGAAAGTGAGGGGGGTGAATAAGAAAGAAAAAGGAAAGGGCGCAAGTAGGGGTGTGGACAATCCCACAAGGTCAGAGTGATGTGTCCAGGCCTTTGTTTTCAATGGTGAGATCAGTGGCCTGCGCAGCCACGAGGGGACGTGCAAAGTAAGTGGCGGCCTGGCAGGAACAGATGTTCTTACACAATGAACATGCACTTGGTTGTTTGCTTATTCACTAAAACTCAAGGAGCTGACTTCCCCTTTTGGAAACAAATAAAAATACAGACAAAGGTTGTTGCTTTTCCACCTGTAGGCCTCTGGGGAAAATGTTGCTGAGTCAATCGGGCTCATCCTTACATGATGCCAAACATCTACAGAACAAAGGGGCAACAGAGCAAAGCTGAACAAGCATTGTTTTCCATTAAAAAACATGTATTTTGAATATTTTTCAAATTAGTAGGAGTGGTGCCTTTTTTTCCAATTCTGTGAGTACATGTTAGTCAATATGTTAGATTTGCATTTGGGTGTGTTTTCTTCTTCTACACTTCTATACCGTAATGCCAGGATGAAACTTTGAGCAGGATTTATTTATATTTGGCCACAAACCTCTGCAGGGGTTTCAGTAACCTAAACAGCAATAGTCTTGTTCCTCTATTTTAGCTCCGAGCTCTGCTTCCCTGCGTTTTGCCTACTAAAATACAAAATTAAATTAAATTAAATTAAATTCTTTTGACTTTGTGTGAAATGAAAAGTGCTGCCATCAATACAAACATAGATTATTATCAGACAAAGACAAGCAAATGAGAAGCATGCATAGTCTTTAACATGGCATTAGTCATCCTGGGTATATTTGCATGGGTGTGTGCACCAACTGTCTTTTAATTCAGCAGTGTGCCTGCACTGTAAAGTTCAAAACATTCACAAGATATCAAATCATTTGGACTCCCCGGAGATAAGAGTGAAGTATACAATCATTCAGGCAATGCAACATTTCACAATCATCCAGTTAGTGTCTTCAGGATTTTCGGCCCATAAATGACCAAAGCTATTCATAACTCATTGCCTCCCTCTGCTGGTGTTAAATTAAGCTAAAGTCAAATTACAACTTGTCTTTGAAAAATTATTAGGATCTCAATTGTGAACTCCAAACTAACATATTGCACGTTATGATATTTTTATCTCATACTCCTAGAGGATTTAAACTACGTCAAAAGCAAGTTTATAGTTGAATTAATGCAGAGCATTTTATGGGTGCTTTTATATTCTCTGCCAGCAATATTATACTCATAGGCTCTTTAATGTGTCACTAGCATTTTAATTCACTTTGTGGCATTTTCTCTCTTTTAGTGGGCTATTAAAACTTTGCAATCGGTGTATCTGAAATGCCTAAGAAAGTGTGTTTTAGTCTGTTGGTCTGATTATTATTATTATCATTATTGTTGTTGTTATTATTATTATTATTGGCCATTAATGAAAATAAATAACTCCTTTTTTAAAAAGAAAAAACATTTTGACGAATTTGACTGTACTTGTGTCTTGTTATTTTATCTTTTTACGGCTCGTTTACTGCTAAGATAAGGGGCTTTGCGCATATTCCAAGCATTTCATAACAACGTAGCTTCAAAACTTGAAAGTTGCTGTTGTAGTACACAAAAAGTGAAGTACAACAAAGCAAACAGTAGATGTCTCCCTAGTCCGTGCAGCTGTGTCTTCGCGAGGACGCTGGTGTCTACTGATGACAGAGTCGCCATTTTGAAAAGCAAATCGTTCACAGCACACCCACCCTGAGTACTGGAACTATGCCGCGGGGCCGGCCTCGCAAACTGAGAGTTCAAAGCAACGACGAAACAGGTAACAAGTTCCAAAATGCAAAGAATAAAATATATAGATAATGGGCTATCCAAATAACCTGCTATTGTTTTGCCAAACACCTCTGTAGCGCATATAATAACACTTCAATGTAGTGCATATAGTCCCCGGATATAGTATTGCGGGTGGGCTTTGCTTTGTACGGCGAAGGAGTGATTGAGGCGGAATGATATTAATAACGTTTCGGTGCCTCTTCTTATTGGCTTCCAGTCTAAATTGGTGTCCGCGAGGAGCGGAGCTCGGCGCTGTGTGGCGTTAGTTAATGTACGCTTTTTTTTTTTTACATGGAATATACATTTATTAGTATTTCGTTGTTAGCATGTTGTTGCTAACTAGCTGGTTTCGCTATCGTTAGCTTCTTGGCTAACACGCTAAAATGTTGGCCATTGTTGTTTTGATACTGTGAAGCGCTGTAGCGAGGCTGTCCAGCTGCCGATGCATATCTTGGAATAAGTTGTCACAACCGCACATTTAACACGACCCAAAGAAAATGTTTTCATGTGCTGTGGAAATGCATTCATTTTGCAATTTGATAACATTGTCAGAAAACAAGGTTGTTACAGCTGCTCGGTGGCCGCATAACTTAAACTGAATGTTACCCCGTGATCCCACTGATTGACGAGTAAATGAGGAGGACCCGACATTATATCAAACTTGATGGCTGGATTATACAGTCCGACCCTGCCGGCGACTTAACCACTCCAGTGGACATGCAACACTTGAAATCAAGTTAAACAGGTGCATGTGTATAACTAAAAGCACATATGACATGCGATTGTAAGTGAGCTGAAAAGGAGAAATACTTTTATTAATTTCATATACGATCAGAATGATAACTTATGTTCACAAATATTGCTTCTGATATGTTTAATGTTAATCTTAGACCTGACATCTGCTGTTATACCATAAATACACTATCTGAATGAAGAGTCATGTGACGTGTACAATATAAATGCTACCTACTGCTTGAATCCCGACTTAAAAGAAAAATATCCAGGCAACACATAACCTGTGTTAGTGAAGAGGTACAACATGTACTTTAGCTATCCTTCACAGGAGAAAGCCTCTTAAAGCACATTAAGATACTCATGTGTCACTTCTTGTGCTTGTCATCAGATGCGGATCCCAGTGAATCTAAGGCAGAAGGCTTCAGTGATGGGGAGCTCAAGGATAAGAAGTGCACAATATGCTCCCAGATTTTTACCACAGAGAGCCAGCTGCAGAAGCACCTCCGTGAACATGAGGTCAATGATAAGGTAGGTACAAGATGGATGTGTCAGCAGGACACAATATCTTGGGTCTACTCACTTTAGATGTAGGTCACTGACTGTCATCCAGGATTTTAGGGTAGTTATGGTAGCGCTTTTTAATTGATTTTCAAGCATTTAATGTCAGTTCAAATATTTGTTGAGTTGAGTGATGATGTCCAGGGTTTTAGTTGTTGTGTATTGTGTTTGCTTGAAAATGATCTAGCCCTTGACAAAAAGTTGGGAACATTAAAAAAAAAAAGTAAGCGACTACTTTAAAGTTGATGAGCTTAAATGTCAAATGATTTCTATTACTGCTAAATTAAAGTGCTTATTAAGTCATCACAGATATTTTTTTTAGTTAATATGACTTAGTTTAGCTTGTGGGGATAGGTTAATTGGATAATCTAAATTGTCACTAGGTGTGAATGTGCGAATGAAAGCGAGTGCGAAGGTGTGAAAAAGTGTTTCCTTCCTTCCTTTTTTTTTTTGCAAAAAGCTGAGTTCGGTTTCTCTTGCCACACTTAGGCCTGATTAATGCCATACCTGTTCTCAATCAAGAAATCACTTAAATAGGACCTGTCTGACAAAGTGGAGTAGACCAAAAGATACTCAAAAGCCAGACACGATGCCATTATCCAAGTAAATTCAGGAACAAATGAGAAACAAAGTAATTGAGATCTCTTGGTCTGGAAAAGGTTATAAAGCCATTTTTAAAATTGTGGGACTCCATTGAACCACAGTGAGAGTCACATTCCACAAATGTCAAAAACATGGAACAGGGGGAAACTTCCCAGGAGTGGCTGGCTGACCAAAATTAATCCAAGAGCACAGCAACGACTCATCCGAGAGGTCACAAAAGACTCCAGAACAACATCTGAAGAACCGGTCTCACTTGCCTCAGTTAAAGTCGGTGCTCACGACTCCACCATAAGAAAGAGACTGGGCAAAAACGACCCGCATGGCAGAGTCCCAAGACGAAAACCACTGCTGAGCAAAAAAAGGTTCATCTCAGTTTAGCCAGAAAACATCTTGATGATTCCCAAGACTTTTGAGTAAATACTTTTTGGAATGTGTGTGTCCCACTACATCTGGCATAACAGTAACACAGCATTTCAGAAAAGGAACATCATGCCAACAGTAAAATAAGACGATGGTAGTGTGATGGCTAGCACCTGAGTCACCACATAGGACAGAAAGTATTCTTGAAATAACATTTTGAAAACTTCTCTTCACTTCTTTATGATCACGTATGGCGATGTTGTATGTAGCGGGTACACTGTGATAATGGTTGTGTTGGTGGTTTCTCTTGGTGCAGGATAATTGGACTGCGTTCCTTGTGAACTCATTCTACATCACATTCATTTATCCATTTTAAAGCACTCACAGCACTCTCACAGCACCATCTCTGCCTGCTTCACTTCTTGCTCGCTTTTGGTCACACTCCCTCTCTCACTTCTTTATTCTCACTTATAATCTCAGGATCTCACACATTGCACACAATCACAGGCAAGTTAAGGGATTTAGTTCTTAATGCCGTGCTACTGAGGAGAAAGTTAGAATAGAGAGACCGGGAGCAAAAAGATGTCAATTGGAGCTTAATTCATTTCATTTGCAGCTGCACCTGCAGCTCTGGGCCATTTAAATTTCAAGTCCATTGCCTTTGCTCCCACTTTCCAGGTTGAAGAGCAGTGGCCTCTGAGTATGCCAGAGTGAGTAAGACTCAACTGTGTCAATACCACTCTCAGACTTGACTAGATTCAAAAAAGCACTCTGAAATGAAGTCAGCTTGTTCTCCTAATAGAAAAGAAATTTAATATTGGGGCCATTTTTGCCTCATGGGGATTTTTTTCCTTTGCCTGTTAATATACAGTACTCTCTACCCTTCACAACAAAGCAGTTTCTTAATTTAGACAAAGTAGCACATTGATTGAGATTCAGCTGTTCCATCTTGTCTTTTTAGTCTTTTCTCGGTCTCCATCTGCCTTCATAGTGACAGCAGCTACAAGAAGCTCACAGCAGAAGGTCATTTTTTTCCATTCTTTCATTTCTCTTTCTCTTGCAGCCTCATCGTTGTGACCAGTGCTCACAGACGTTCAACGTGGAGTTCAACCTCACGCTACACAGGTCCACACACACTACATCGGACTTCACCTGCCCCGTTTGCAATAAGAAGTTCTCTCGCATCGCCAGCCTTAAATCCCATATCATGCTGCATGAGAAGGAGGAGGTAAAATGCCTCATGCTGTGGTTTCTGTGCATATTATGCACTTTTATTTCTCTTTTAGACTCCTTTCTATGTTATTGGTTTCCATTCTTGCAGAATCTGATCTGTGCTGAGTGCGGAGATGAGTTTGTTCTTCAAAGCCAGCTCTCTCTGCATTTGGAGGAGCATCGGAAGGAGCTCTCGGGCATCAAGGTCTACACCTGCAAGACCTGCGACAAGGAGTTCAAGACGTCTGCGCAAATAAAGGAGCATATGAAGAGTCACATCAAAATGAGGTCAAACAAGACACTTCAGGATGCTGATTTATTACATTTGACACAGTCAAGTGGAAAAGCTTTGGGTTAAAAATTTGGCATGAATCATGCAGCTGTTTAAAGAAAAATTCAAAGCATCCTCATATCTAGTATTTTGTACAGACCGAGGGGTGTCTGATTCAGGATAGATGAATCTTTTATGAAGAAAAAAACATTTTTGCAAAATAGTTTTAGGTGAATTTGCAGCTCTGCAGAGTGATGAAATTAAAGCACCATCTTTCATGGCGTTCATGGAAAATAAGTACATTTGTAGTCATTGTCAGATAATCTTTCATTTAAGCTAAGCACAAAAATGCTTAGGCGAGTCTATGCAGCTGTTCTCAAAACTCTCTGTAGCCTGTTACTGCTAGAGGCTAAGCATTAGAACCAAGGTCCACTACTTTGAAATAACGCCTTGTGCCAATTTAATGCTTTATGCTACTTCAGAGCTATTCTTTTAGACATGGTTTCTATGATAATGTTAATTTGCAGACTAGTAACAAATATGCTACTAGAACAGCTTGACTGTCAAGGTCTGGAGCCCTATTGGACTGAGGCCTGTTTAAAGAAGTTCAATTTCCTGTAGGTGTACAGCTGAGTACTTTTAAAACTCATTAAACCATTCAGAAAGCACTTGTGTGTAATGCCACATATAATTTTGTCTTTACTTATAGAACAAACATTTGTTTTAATTGTAAAGAAAATACTTGTACACGAAGGATAATTGTCTAAATCTCAAATATAAGGCTTAAAAAACTGCTTTGTTGTATTATGAGTGACCTTCCGTGGTCCTATGTTAATGCACACTATATTAAACTAGATTTTTTTCTCATGGTTCTTTCCTTTACAGGCCACTTACTTCTACTTCAAGAAACTACAAGAAAAACATAGATCGCAGTGGGTTCACAAACAGCTGCCATCATTGTGGAAAGGCTTTCAAAAAGCCCAGCCAGCTCATCAGGCACATCCGAATACACACAGGTGAGTGAGAATGGAAAAAGAAAAACCTGATTATAGTGCTTATATTGAGATTTAAGCTCAGAGCAAAAATACTGCAGAAACTGGAGGGTAGAATTGTATCTACTTCAGGCCAGAACAGGATCCTTTACGCTAATTTTCTTTGTTCTGGACTTTGGGAAGGTCTGGCTTAGATGTTAACTTAAAATATTAGGATGAGCATTATGAGTCTTATGTGAAGGAATGTAAAGTTTACAAAATTTGGAAAACCTCTGACACCTATTCACTCTGAATGTCAGTAAAAACTAGGAAAGGGAAATGATAGAATTTAGTGATTGATTGATCCTGAGGGAAATTGGGATTCTCTTTGGGTTCTCATTGGCTCTGCTTTGAGAATCCCCAACATTGCTCTGCAATGCTGTGTGGTCAAATAATTGTTCATTTTGGAGGTGTTTCCCCTTTTTGTTGTGATTAGTATTAGGGTTGTTACACAAAAAAAATAATATATTACAGATTCATACATTACACAGAACACTTTTATTAAAAGTAAAAAGTTATTTTACTGTTTTCTGTAAAATGACCTGAAATACATTGCATCATAATTACCAGTTAACAATATAAACCCACAGGCTACGTCCATACACACAACACAAATCCCTATCCTAATGAGGACACACATAATCTTTCTCTTAGTATTCAGGTATGAACACAGAGCAAAGATGAAAACCACCACAAAGAGACTGTCCTGGATGCAGTTTGCACTTAACCATCTGGCTGTCGTCCGTTTGTGGAATGATGTTTATATCAATTTCTATTAAATATAGGGTAATTGATATAAACATCATGTTAAACTTTGAAAGTGAGGGGTTTTATAGTTTGTAGCAGACTGTAGGCTCACGTTAAATTGGATGCCAACAATGCGTTTTTGTTCATTTGAGTCTTCTTTTGAGGAAACTCTTATTTTAGGAACTGAGGAGATCAGCTGTTGTAGTTTTGAAAGCCAGATGTCTGCCATTCTTGCTTGTATAGCTTCTGTAGTATTCAGCTACTTGTTTTATAATATGTCAAACATTTGTGTGAGCAGAATGTAGCTGATCTATGATCTGCTTTAAATAAGCAAAGGCTTCAATTATATAATCTGTAAACACCATTAAGCAAACATGTTAATAAACCACATGCACTCCACCGCCACCACTGATGCTGGCTACTGACCTGTGTGCTGGTAAACATCTATTCAGAACCCGTCAATAGTTTCTAAAACGAATTTAAAATCTAACCAAAGAAGCATTTGTGGTTTTAACTTTCTTTTGTGTGTGCACTGCAGTAACAACTGTTTACTGACACTGTTCCTCTATAGTGTTCTTGAGCCCTTGTGGTATGTGTGGTGGAGAGAGGTATAGATATTTCTCTCTGAATCAGTTCTCTGAAACAGTGTGAGCGGTTGCTTCTTATATTTCATTTGTGAATGAACTTTGCATTTGAGGTTCCAGAAACCTGAAGAGTGAGTGGATACTGGCAGCAGCTTGAATTGATGGGGGTTTAGTAGCCTGCAGTGGACTTTCAAGGTGTTTGGAGACTTTTTGTTTTCTTTCATTTTGTTTTTAAATTGTATGTTCCTTTGAGGCACTTTCTTCCTGTGAATGCTGTCCAGTAAAATTAAAATATACAAGCCATATATAATCAAGGGTTTTTTTTGTAGCTCAGAATGAGTGTTTGGGGGGTTTAAGCTATGCCACAATTGGCCCTGATATTGTTAAAACATGGAGTTTGTATTACCATTCTCTCCTGTTATATATGGGTATTTGATATACAAAAACATATTAAAACTTAAAACCACAGGTTAAAAATAATCCTGATGATTTTCTTTTGATGAAAAACTCTTTGGTAGCTACAAATATTTTTATGAGCAGGAAAAAAACTTTCTTAACAGCGCTTATTCTGGTTTTCTTTTCTTCTGCTCTTTCATATAAGGCTACAAATTCGTAAGTAGCTGCACTGCATATCTGGAGAAACTACACACCTCTGCTGGGCCCATTGCTCTGTCGTATGGAGAGATTGTGTGGGTAGAATTCGATATTCCGTTTCAATTCAAATGTTCTTGTGGCTCCTGTGAACGTTCAGCCATCTGGGTTCAGGTTAATGTAGCCAGTAGCTCCCACCCACATGTTGTTTACCCATCATCCATATGTTAAATTGTTTGGCTGGGCTGAGCTGGGGGGGTTTTAATGCAGGATTGAATTGACTTCTCTTGTGCTTTGAATCTCAAACAACCTTTCAGTTGATGAGGTAAAGACTATAGAAACACACATTATGGTTCATTTGCACCTCTGTGGTTTGCAGTGATGTTGGAATGGTACAGGACTGTATTTGAGTCATCTTAATTTAGCTTGAAGTAATACCAGCCTTATGTTGTTACCAAGGTGACAAAATTGCATGGTCGTACTGTAATAAAATGTGATATTCTACCACTGACAGTCACATATGTGGCTAATATTGTTGGACAAATTCTTATTAAAGCAATGCTGGTGAGTTTTTTAATGATCATACATTAAACACAACCATGTATTGTATGGCATATAATAATTACTATATCTGCAGGAGTAGTTTTAATTTTGTTGTTGAATTTTCTGGAGATGACAAGGGATTCATTGAGATTGTATAAATTTGATATTATTATAAATATTGTCACTATTACAGCTTGATTCTTGACCTCATCGTGCTCCTCCTCTGCAGGTGAGAGACCCTACAAGTGCACGCACTGCGGCAAGGCTTTCAACCAGAAGGTGGTGCTACAGACTCACATGGTGAGACACACCGGGGAGAAACCTCACCTCTGCATGTTCTGCCCTGCCTCCTTCTCCCAGAAGGGGAACCTGCACTCTCACGTTCAGAGGGTTCATTCTGAGGTAAGAGCACAGTAAAAACACAGTCATGGCTTCAGATGCATGTTTCAAGACTGTGTAATTAATTTGTTTATAAAGATTAGATATTGTCATTAAAGGGGAATTGACGCTACAATGTTTTACATTTCTGACATCCTGGTATCACATTGTATAGAAATGGTACCCGTTTAATCTCACCTAAAGAAAGGTTTTCCTTGGGTGAAGTCAGCCATTGGTTTTATTTGAAACGGTTAATGAGCTCCTTGTTTTGTTTACTTGCAAGTTCCTTTTTAACTTAGTGAATCGACTTAAATTCAGGAAACTACAACTAAATTTCAAAGTAAAAGTTTTAAGGACTTTAAATGGTTTCGAGTTAAGGACTTCACACAAATTTATGTAAACAGTTAACACCCAAAACATCATGTTCATGAAAAGTTTACCAGTTTTCTACAATTTACTAGCATGTCTTTCAGTTGTACTGTTTCCCCAGATACATATATGTATTTTTTCTTGTACATCTTGTAGAGCAACACACTAAATTGCCAGAACCTCTGTTCACAGCTTGTTATACTCAAAGCACGGCACTTTGTCATATTGTTTGTGTGTCAGAAAGGGCATAAGGTTCCTTGTTTGATTTTTCTCCTTTGTAAACACCTCGCAGAAGCCATTTTTTTGCAGCCTAGCTGATTTATTCTTCCTCGTATTGTCAGGGAGGTTAAATGGGGTCTGTCAAGTCTTCCACTTAGTGCTACACTGTGGTTGAGGGGTCAGACGAAGGACACACATCATAGACCTCTCTGGGGACCTAAATTCTCATTTGTGTGGTTGTGTCTGTTTCTCGAATTTATAAACTGAACTAGTTAATGGTTGGATTTATAGAGGTGGTGGTATCTCCTGGTTTAATGACTACTTCCAGTAATGTGGCTACAAGCTGAACTAACTCAGCTGTGTGGCATAATGATTGTAAAGGTCCCTCAAAGGTCCCTCATCACAATGAGCAGCGCTAGGTGAGCATGAATGATGTGTTGTGCTTGCACACCAAGCCTTAAACTAATTTAGTTCACTTCAGCCAACCTGGCTGCTGAGAGAAATAGGTTTACCTGGGTCTTTTCTGTAGCACACACAGTCTGTACTTTCTTATAGTCAGAAGCAAGGAGGTGTAAAATTCTCATTGTTGTAGTTGGTTTGCTTAAAAAATATAAATATAAATCAAGCTTTATTATACACCTAAAGAAGAGATACAGGAAATTGCTACAAATATGTTAGCACATCCTTCTTTGTTACTGAAGTGGGGGCATTTTAATTATGGCTCTTTCAAAAGATTTTACTGATTAATAAAAAGCTTCATACTTAGGCTACATTAATGAGCTGTCAGAGATTGGCAATCATATTAAATGGCTGGTTGTGGTCTGTTATTTGGATTGTGAATAAAAAGTGCTTTTGAGAAAAACGTTGCATAAATTTTTTTGCCAGCGGTTCAATCGGTCAAATGAATTGAAGTGTTTGTTGTCTTACCTGCATACACCATTGTGTATTCCATGATAAAAGATGGTGATTTGGCCAGTTGATTGAACTGGAGAGCCCAACAGCTAGACCCTTTGAATAATGCATCAGTTTTTCACAAGAGTTCTTTAGCTTTGCTTTTGTAGACACTTTGTTCTTACAATTGGCTGACTTAAAAAATGAAAAAGTCAGGGGTTATTCACAATAGATTTCATGCTCTGGCTCTTACTGAGGAGCCAGGGGAGAAAGTGTTTAATGGCATCCAAAGCCTTTGCTTGGCACAGATTGTAGTGCTGAAGCTTTTGGAAAAAACTCATTCTCCTGGGAATCTGTGATTTAAAATCAGCTGCAGAACATTAGTCGTTTCATCACAACACCAATTTACAATATGAGTATCATTTCTGGCTCAAGACTTCTGCACAGCACTGTAGTTGAGGTGTAGACTTTTACATTGGAGTTAACAGAATTAGAGAAAAAAATACAGATTCTTTTCACTGTGACCTCTAAGGTGAAGGGGGTCAAACTAAAGCACTATATACATACTACTCCTGGATCAGCTGCCCAGTGAATTACATTGAAATATATTTCAATAATAGAAGAGTATGCCCTCCAGTTCTTACACTTTCACTCGGCTTCCTTTTTCATCTTCCACAGACAGTATTTCTGTCATGATTCATTTGTCATTGTGGCCATCTGTACCCTCACCCTTTTTACCAACTCCCCATATGATCTTCTCTTCTAGTTATTCCCCATCTTTGACAGTCCTTTTCTCCCGCTTCATCACCACCACTACAAGAAAATAACAGTCCTCCTCCTCTGTCCAGCCATCTCTCCCATATGTTCCACACCAGCACAGGCCAGTGCAACAAGCCCATCATCCTGGCACTGATGATACCTTTTTAGGGCTCTTTCATATGCCCCACACTCTTCCAAACATACTCCAAATGCTTCCTTTCTAGTGAATACAGACTTGAACCACCTTCATCTACTTCACCAGTGGTTTACCCTCACAGGAAAAGCAATCAAAAGTTTTTGGTGTCAAGCTCAAAAGACCTATAGATTATTATTTTTTTGTAACTGCATTTAGATTAAATACTAGACTTACCTCATTTCCATATACTGCTGTGTTTTCAGTTATGGAAGCGTTCTTCAGCATTCTACCTACACGTTTGCTCAGTTTCAAGGATTTTACAGCTATAACATACAGACATATGTAGGACGTATATGTAGAATGTAGACACAGCAAAGTAACACAACATCTGACTGAAATCTGGTCACATTTGTGGTGTACACTTGAGGGATTGAATTTTTAGAAAAGGAAGAAAATTGTAAAAGCTAAATGGACTATATCAATTTATATTTTACTTCTTTATAAATATCATACTTCAAGTCTGACACAGTGACTATATAGTGTAGTAGTTAAAAAACTTTTGCCTAACACATGAAAGATTGCTGGTTCTAGCAGCAGAGCAGCCATAAGAAGCTTACTTGAGGTCTAAAACAGCTTGAAAGAGTGATTTAAAGATTGATGTATGCACTCTTTATGTTCATATGAAAGTAGATTTGACATAGTTATAGATATTGATAGAAGTCTACAGAGTGCAGTTTTACAGTTCTGTGACTCTGTCCATTATAAGCTATATGTAGACATTAGAGCTAATTCTTATATTTTGTAAACTTTTTAACATATTGTATTCTTTAATTTAGTTCAGTCTTTAGTACTGTTCTTATTAGGGGTGGGTTTTTATAATCGATTTTACGTTTTTATTAAAAACGTGAAATCGATTCATTAAAATCCTGAATCGATTTTTTTAATATAAATTTATTTTGCCCGAAATGCCAGAATCTCAGGTGAAACCTTACAAAATTTCAACAACCATTTGGGAACCTCTGTCCTAAGGGATTAACAAAGCATTCAGATTCTGATACTGACACCATGCACTGGTCCTTAGCAACATGCACTAATCAACATGCTTCAGCTTGAATTTTATTTTGAAGAAGCATAGAAAGTTGTGCACCGCAAAGTGTGGTGAGTGGGGTCAGCTGTTAGTGAAGATTGCCTTGATTTAAAAAAAACAGCATGCACAAAGATGCTGTTTGTTCTCGTGATATTAGCCAGCTCTGATCCTCAACTCAAAAGTTCACATGTCGATTGTTTTCTAAGTTAGCAAGTCTGATGTCCATGGGGAAACTGCAGGTATGAATGGACAGAAGAGAACCTTCAATGTAAATGTCGATTACGGGTCCATGATAAGACGACCTTGAAGGGAGACTTACCAGTTTTAAAAGTTTTTTTTTTAATTTAATTAGAAATGTTTTTAATACAGTATGTAGGATTTTGGAGCTTCATGATCACACCCTGTGGGCTTTTCCCCTGATGTTTAGAGTCAGTTTTACATCTACTTCAGCTCCATTATATGTAATACTCACAGTAATCTAATGAAGACACACCAAATTGATGTGTGGTTTTATTAGATTATCGCTATCATCAACACAGTGATCAAGGGAATTTGAGAAACTAGTACCCAACCTGTGATTCCTAAGGATTCATATACATATAATTTCATTGTTTATGAGGCAGTTTTTTGTTTTTTTTTTATGAAGGGGAAAGTAAAGGTTTACCTCGTGTTCAGTTAAACACTCTGACATATGTGGAAATATTATTATATTTCCTTCTTTGCTTAATGGGTAGAATGACCCACAGAGCGAGTCAGTTAAAAACATACAGCAGCTAGCTGTAATGTGCTTTGTGTATTTGTGTTCTCTTACAGACCAAAGGGGTGCCGCTGTTTCCGTGCATGGACTGCAGCTGTGTATTTAAGAAACTTGGCAGTCTGAACGCCCACATCAGCAAAATGCACATATCCGTGATTGAGGTGCCATCCAGCACATCGGTAAGAGAAGCTTGTGTACCAAACAAGAGAACATCCCCTAGAAAACATTTCTTTGGTCCAGCATCTTAACAGAGGGTTCTTAAGTGTCCTGTGGTCCTCATGTTTAATGTTAACGAGACACCCTGGAGTTTGTTTCCCAAATTAATTCATACGTAGGCTGTTTGTTTATACAGAAAATTATGCTGTTTTTCTCTTCTTTTTTTCCCTGGGGAAAGAAGTAGCTTCCCATAACTCGATTAGGATCCAGAATTATTATCACTTTTTTCAGTGGGCCAGCAGCAGGAAAAACAAAGTGCAGCACTAAAAAAAACCCTCAGCTGTATTGAATGCAGACAAGTCTAGTTTGATTCACTGTGGTTGGTAGCTTTAGCGAACCCCAGAGGCACTGTTACTAATAATGCTTCTCAAATTGTGGACTTTTATTTCCTTCCAGCTTTTTCCTTCTTTATCCAAAGATAACTGCACAGGATAAAGGGTTTTCGTTTTTTGTTTTAGTTTGTTTTTTAGTGGTAGATAATGGTTGTGGTTTGTTTTTTTGCCATTGGTATTTCAATACATCCATGTCCCCACTGCTAGAAACTATAAAAACTTCAATTTCATTTGCACTAAAAGAGCAGCACCGTCTTTCAGTTTTGACCTGGTAAATTATTTCCCTCTGCTCTAGAACAATCAAGAACGGCTGCTGCCAAATTTGACCTGGTGTACAGTCATACAATGCAGCATAAAGCCAGTCGTCGCCCTAGTTTAGAACGAGAATGGTGGGTTTCCATTATTTGGTTGTTAGCAGGTTATTAATTACAGCCTTCATTATTCAGTGATGATCTACCTGCCATATCTACACTTAAACGAACCTTGTGTTGAGAAGTTGTATCTCCATGTTAATATGTGGATAAATAATGTGGGCATTAATATTTTATTTAATAATCACCAGTGCTTTGTTTCAAGCTCAACAGAGCCACTAATCAAAGTTAAGTCATCCCACAAATTGTGGCCTGTCCCAGCTCTTCGTCACGTTGCTCTGTGTCTTTCTTGGTCCCCTCACCTCTTTTTTTGTCTTTTTTATAGGAGGCTGAAACAACAGGTCAGGCTCCAGGGGTGCCAGAAGGTGGCGAGGGAGTGACAGATGTCATCCAGCAACTTCTAGAGCTGTCGGAACAGGTCAGTGGGGAGACAGCCCAGCCCCAGCCCCCAGAGCCAGCTATCACAATGGAAACTGCTATTAACCAGGACATCCTACAGGTGAGTGGCGTGTAATCGCAAGATTGTTACAATATAAAAAGCAGTATCCAGTAACAATCTGGACGACAATCCGCAGACCCAGCTTGTACATTACAGACATTAATCTTCACTCAATGAGAATGGACTAAAACCGCAGATAAACATAATATATTCAGACAGACGTTTTAAAGTAAAAAGACTCCTGAGTGATGAATGATATGCTCTGCTTTCATTTGGTGATTGAATGTCAAGATTGTTTCACTGTTCTGCAAACACCATCCATCCATGGGAGAGGGCAGTTTAACAAATATGCACCAGGAACTTTTAGAGATGAGCATCATCACAGAGTTTAAAACGACCTCTACTCCCCAGCATGATAAGATATGATTGTCGCTGAACTTTGCTTTACATCATGGCTTTTTTTTATTTTAATGGCCATATTAAAATTATTAGTACCTGAATAATGAGATATTTTTAAATAATCACTTTCAGTGTTTTCAAAGATTTAAGCAGCAATCGTGTTTTCGATTTTGCTTTTCCTGGACAATATTCTTTGCGATTTGTTAAAAGAACCTCGTTATTTACTGATGTCCACAGGTCCTGCACTTTAAAGGGTTCTCTTTCATGTAATAAAAAAATCCCTTGACTTATAATGACATTAGTGTGTGTGTGTGTTTTACTTTTAAACCGCTAAAAATGAAATGATTTTGTAAAGACGACTGTAATTTCTAAGTTTAATCACATCTTGATTGTTCGGTTGATTGCTTCTTTTCAAATCCATTGCTGTGGCTATTTGAAATTGCTTGTTTGTGTGAGGTGTGCATGTATATTAAAGTTGTGGTGGTCCTCTGGTACTACAGCAAGCGCTGGAGAACAGCGGGCTGAGTGTGGTCCAACCCCAGAGTGACGCCCCACCAAGAGAGTCACAGAACCAATCGACCGATGGCGCTGTTGTGGAAAACAAGAAAGTGCAAAGTACAGACAAACTGACCAGGGAGAAAAAGAGGAGCATTTTTAAGAAACCTATACAAATGCCAGGTAGGAGGGGATATTTTACCCTTTCAGTGAGATTCATTTAATAAATACTGTTACAGAGATAATTGTTTTCTTTTCTTTTTTTTTAAATAAAATTATGTTCTGCCCTTTTCAGGCTCCATCAGGGAGGAGGATGGCGTTCGCTGGCACGGGTGCCCCTACTGCTCCAAGGAGTTTAAGAAGCCCAGTGACCTTGTTCGTCACATACGCATCCACACCCACGAGAAGCCTTTCAAGTGCAAACAGTGCTTCAGAGCTTTTGCTGTCAAGAGCACCCTCACAGCACATATGAAGACGCACACGGGTATCAAGGCCTTCGAGTGTCAGAGCTGTCTGAAGTGCTTCTCCACCTCTGGCAGCATGAAAGTGCACATGCGGCTGCATACAGGTGAGAAGCGAGTCCGCTTTGTGAAGAGGTCACACTTAAAGTCATAGCAACACCAGCACATTTCACTTTATAGAGTCACTCTGTATGTTACATTATTTACTTGTTACTTTAGCATAGTCACTTTAAGCATAAGTTAAAGGAGAAGTGTGTGGGCTCTTAATATTATGTTTCAGCCGCTGTTATTTAGAATAAATAAGATATGTTGTGGTGAATTATGCAACAAATTGCTCAGGCAGGACTTGCATAAATCTAATGGTGCCACTAAAGCTAGAACCCTCATTTGTATTTATGTATATACTGTGTACCCTATATGTGTTTGAGCTACTATGTGCACCGGTGCATTAGTTTTTGTCTCTCTAATTGCTGTGTAGTGTCACTCTGATAGGTGTTTACTTTAGTGCTGCTTGTGTGTTAGTTCTAAGGTAAAGTTTTGATAAATATGTTTTCAGACGTATGTCTCCGAAGGCTTCATGCTTTCAAAGTTTTATATCTGTTTTGTTTCATACACTGTTACCTGCTAAATGAAGGCTTTTAACCTTATGTAGCCAAAATGAAAGCAAATTACGAGAGCGTATATTTTTACATGTGTTATGTTTTCATGTTGATTTAGTTAATAACTTTAAAACCTCTATGTGAGTTTAGATTTTCATTTTATTTGATTTTTCTGTTGTTGTTTAGAAAAAGTTATTCTCTCAATATTAATTTTCCAAAACATCTATTTTTTTCCTCTGACTTTTTCTAGGTGTGAGGCCTTTCCCCTGCCCTCACTGCGACAAGATCTTTCGTACGTCGGGACACAGGAAAACACACATCGCTTCTCACTTCAAAAGCTTGCAGCAGAAGAAGCATAAATTTCCACGGAAAGCAAACAAAGCCAAAGTGTCCAAAAGCAACCTACCTCTACCAGATATCCCCTTGCAGGAACCCATCCTCATCACTGACTTTGGTAAGAGGGCATGGTGACAGGCACATACCCACAAATATTGGGCAATGCTGCATTATATTTTCACCACACAGAAGGCTAGCTGTTGTAAGCTCATGTGTTGTTTTTAACAGGTCTCATCCCATCCCAAAACCCCCGCCTGGCTTTTCAACAGTACCTGGATGTTGTGGCCAATGACCGGCCATACAAGTGCCAGTTCTGCAGTAAAGCCTATAAGAAGTCAAGTCACCTTAAACAGCATGTCAGGTAAAGCTTCTATGTAATAGTGATGTTTCAGTGCATGGTCTCAAAGAGCGAGAACACAATGGCTTTTTGAGGGCCAGTGCAAGTGTTTTTTTTATAATCTGTTGCTAGTTGCTAGTTTCTTTTTAGAATACAACACAGGTGAAGAGAACTATGGTCAGGATAACCACGTATGTGGAAGGCTGGAGGTGAGAAGAGCAGAACAGAGGAGGCATCACTGACATTGACATTTAACAAGTCAGATACTGCATGACAGGAGGATACTACAGGCCATCAAAAGAGGAGACATCTTTGGTTCTGAAATTAGTTTTTGGCAGGATCCACAATGTCAACCCATTTTTAATGGTCCTCAAGGGATAAACCCCAAAAGTGGAAATAACCTGCAATTTGAATATTTTCCCCCAAAAAAACAAAGTTTAGCAAACGCTTGTCTTTTTAGATTTGCGTCTAACACGAAATGATTTCCCACTGAACTCAGCAGAGCAGCGTGTCCCACAAATCCTTTCTTAGCTGATCTTATAATGTTAGTCTACATAATCATATCAGAGAAGTATTAACAAGTGTGTACCGCTCAGCAAGGTTTCATTTTGCTTGGCTTAAGCTCATCTGCAGACAGACAGAAGAAGAAACAGTGGAACAGATTAGAGGGAGTTGGAGGTTTGTTGACAGACATAATGAATTTGGTGAGAATGGAATAAATGAGATTGAATTTATGCAAGAGAAGGAAGAGAGCGTGAAGGGGAAGTACAGAAGAGTTGAAAAAGAGAAATAACTATATTCAGCAAACCCACTTCAACCTGTTAATATATATACTCTTAATCCTTTTTTCCCCAATTTATTTGCTTGTTTTACACCGCACATGGCTGAACTTTATTAACCTTGTTTCAAATGACCCTGTTATTTATGGATGGAGAGCAATAAGTGGTCTAATCACTCAGCTGCTCTGCTCGGTGTATCTCTGTTGAACTTTCTAACCAATCTTTATGAAAGAAATCTAGTCATTTGTCTTTGAGGATAAATGATCAATAATGATACTGTCATGTGTGTAGTGCCTTTTTAATGGCTGGTGCCTCATTATTCTTGTTTTCTGGCAGATTTTGAGTTCTAACTTGTAATGCAAGCTGAGGATCGATGTTTGCCTATGCCTACTGACAGGGCCCTTGAATTACCCATGAACCTGTACTGATACTTAAAAAATGTAGGGAATTTGATTCAAGTACACCAAGTAATATATCATCCTGACAGGTCATGCCGGACCATGCATTGTGATTTTCCACCTTGTACTAAGAATATACCAACGAATTCTGTCCCTTTCGTTCCTTAGTATTGGCAGCATTCCTCAAAAACTCATCTACAGCAGTGTGCTAGTACCTTTTAGGCTGCTTGATGTCCCAATACACACTGAACCTGTTTTTGAATGTTGCCAGGTCTCATACAGGAGAAAGGCCCTACAAGTGTGTGCAGTGCAGTCGCAGTTTTGCCTCCTCGGGAGTCCTCAAAGCTCACATCCGAACACATTCGGGGCTAAAGGCATACAGGTGTTGTATGTGCGACACAACGTTCACCACCAGCGGCAGCTTAAGGCGCCACATGACCACTCACAGTGACCTGCGACCTTACATGTGCCCCTACTGCCAGAAGACCTTTAAGTCATCACCTAACTGTAGGAAACACATGAAGACGCACAGGTCTGATTTCTGACAGTCTGCTTTTTCACAGATAGATTGGACTGTTTACAGGGATGTTGTTGTGCTCTGTGAATGTATCAATCAGAGCTATGTCCTGTCAAACCAGGTACGAACTGGCCCAGCAGCTACAACCTCAGTCAGGAGAAGACCCCCTGGGAGCTGGCACTGTAGCCCATGACATGCAAGTGGAAATAGAGGGTGACACTCTCCAGCAAGCCCCGGCTGAAACAGCAGAGCAGCAGAGCATGCTGGGACTGAGCCAGACAGAAGTTGTAAATGGAGGCCAGCAAGTGACACTGGACGCAAACCTGACTGTACAAGGAGATGGTAAGAGCAACTTAATTCATGTCATATTATATAATGGAATAAGTTGTGAACGATTCAGTAGAACTCGTGAAAGCTGTAACACTGAAACCTCATTTTGCAAAAAAAGAAAGCGTAGCATTAAATTACTAAATTCTTCCAAAAACTCTGTGACTCAACTTCAAGAAAGTTTTCTGAGGTAATCTGTGCGTTGTGTGATTTAAGTTTCATTGCACTGAAAACTTTCAGTTTTCTTAAACGTGTCAGAGAGCAGAAGAAGTTCAATACACCTCCCCATCGTCTCCATCTGTTTGCTCTGTAGACCAGCACATATGGTTTCACGCAGTATAGCTCAGCACACAGCCTCCAGAGCTTTAGCACTCCAAAGATAGTAATAGAATGATTAGTAATCCCTCTCTAAGGTCCAGAATCTGGTCCCTTAAAGTAAATCGAAAATCATCTCCAGAAAGAAGCAGCTCAGCCTAGCTGACATCTGAAAACTCTTTAGAATTAAAATTTACATCATGTCGTCAGGTTCCATAATCTTGACCTCAGCTATCTATATTTGATAAGACTTCATTAATATACAGAAAGCAAATCTACTTTGCATTTAAAGAAGGTACACTGCTGAAAACAAAGTGTAGATTATAGTATTTTAATATGATACTTATAAATAAATATTGTTACACATAACACACAGTTATTTTTGTTATTCTAAAATGTTCTGTGCATGTAACTGTGCATGGTGAGCTGTGTTAGTTAGGGAATCTGCAATGTAACTTGCTTTTTAACCTCAACTGAAAGTTTAACAGTGGAAATATTGTTCCACTGTTCGTTTCTGTGAGCACTAACTAACTTGTTGCTTTGCATCTCTTTCTTTGTCGTGACAGACTCATATGTGACTACCCAGCATGCTTTGCCTCAGAATATCAGCCAGTTTGAGACACCAGCACTTCCTCAGTCTTCGTTTGACCAGCAAGCTCTAACACAAGGTATAAACATAGCATGTGTGGGCTGTTATGTGACAAAGATAACATGGTATGTTTATTTGCTATATCATCTGTGCAAAACACAGGTTCACTGTTTCAGAAGTCAAGAGCCAGTAGTATATGAAGAGTAGTAGTAACTCATGCATAGTACCTTTAGTTATAAGGCTTAACTAACAAAGTGTAGGTATTGGCCATATTAGTTATGAAATCTCTTATTTTGAATTAATACCAAAGGAAATCAGTCACACATAAATAGAATTGGTGGAATAACCCTTACTTCAGCTTCACAAAGGTCCCAAATGACAGAGCGGTCGTGGGAGAAAGGAAGACTCTTTACAATTCCCACAACAAACCGAACAACAGTTAATTTCATCAAACTATATATACCCTCTACCAATGTGTCTGGTATCTCTATATGTCTTTTGAAATCAGTGTGTTCTCAAACATTTTTCTTCTTCTTCTTGCTCTAACTCACCATGGCGGCTGACTGCTGTTGCCAGCCAGCTTTCCTTTGTGATCAGCATCAAACATCTGTGAGGCAAACTGAACTTTTCAGTTCTATGAGGTTCAAGAGATTCTGTTGAACTTCAAACTTGACATGAACAGAGCTGGAGTTGTTGTCATTTTAGGAATGAAGACATATGGATTTGTCAAAAAAAAAATTGATGTGTATGATTTGCTAGGCTTTTCATCATCAATTTATCTTTTTACTCCTGCAGGTCAGCTGTCAGGACTGAAGCCTTATTATTTACTAGGGTGTGAAGTACTACAGCTAATGACACTGGTCTCTGGGGGCCTCTGGGAGAAGCCCTGTATTTCTTGCTACTTTATATATGTGTTGTTTACAGTAACTACACTGTGGTTGATTTAAGGTTCACACACTGTTTCTGCTGCACATTTGGTGGCTCTTAAAAGTGTCACATAAAGAATGTGCCCACACTGCCACTTTATTAACGCTACAGTCACACTAGAGAAAACAGTGATTGAGGTCGCGGCGCGAACAAAAACATTGTGATCGGATACTCTAAGGAGCTTGGAAAGAAAAGCGTCTGGACTTCTTCAAGTTGCTTGAAGACGTGTCACCTCTCACCCAAGAAGCTTCTTCAGTTCTAGGGTCAAATGGTGGAGAGTCCCAGATTTAAACCCCAAAGAGGGGGGGTACAATGATCTGTTGCTGTCTGCACAAATGCAAATTCACATTAGCTACTTACATTCAGAGTCCAGCCAGGGCATCATAGATTTGGAAATTCTGTCTGCTTTTATAAATTAGATTCAATTACTTGCAAACCTTTGCGATTCTGTCCAAGAGTGATTGTAGCCAGTCTCCAGTTTGGAGACAGACTGCTTTCCTTCAGGCAACCCGTGCAATCGCCTCAAACTGCATGCATGAATGCAAAAACAATTCAAGACAGTCACCTTGTGTTCTTTTGGCCAGTGCAATAATTGCAGAATATTCTTGTAACAGCCTCTAGGTTGTACATCACACAGCATCAGTTCAGCTTTAATTATGTAGCATGGCAACTGTTATCTCAAGGGAAGCTTTACATTGTAATGTAAAGACCTCACAGTATTATAAAGGTAACCTAGAGGTCCCCAATGAGCAAGCGCTTTGCAGTAGTGAGGGGGGAAAAACACTTTTATCAGGAAGAAGTGGAAAAAAGGCAGCACGGTGGTTAGCACTGTTGCCGCACAGCAAGAAGGTCCTGAGTTCAATTCCAACATCAGGCCGGGGTCTTTCTGTGTGGAGTTTGCATGTTCTCCCCGTGTTTGCGTGGGTTCCCTCCGGGCACTCCGGCTTCCTCCCACCGTCCAAAGACATGCAGCTTGTGGGGATAGGTTAATTGGAAAAATCCAAATTGCCATTAGGTGTGAATGTGAGTGCGAATGGTTGTCTGTCCCTGTGTGTTGGCCCTGCGACAGACTGGCGACCTGTCCAGGGTTTACCCTGCCTCTCGCCCTATGACAGCTGGGATAGGCTCCAGCGCCCCCCGCGACCCTGAAAAGGATAAAGCGGAAGCGAATGGATGGATGGATGGATGGAAGTGGAAAAAAAGCAAAGAGAGAAGAAGAGCACAGATAAACAAACAATACCAGCTATAACAATAAAACACCTTTCTGCTGCAGGCTGAAATCCCAGGGGCGGTCTGACACTTTGGAAGACTGATAGTGTTGAGTTCAGCTTTTTTTTTTTTTAATCGATAAAAGCCATCCTCCCTGATGGCTGATATTGTGCTGTGTCGTGCAGATCTTAGAAAAACACTTTTTCAGATTTCATAGATTCCTATTATTATTGCTTTAAAAGTGGCAGAGATTTCAAGCCAAAAATTCAGTTTGAACTTTTGGCTTGAAAATAAGTGAAATATGTTTTTAGTTGAAAAAAAGTAAAACATGTCTTGTGGTTTTTTGTTGTTGTTGTTTTTTTCAGGTAGACCCAATATTGCTGTCAGCCAGAGGTTAGATCTTTGGATTTGACTATAAACAAGACTGATTATTCTCGTCTGACTCCATCTAGGCTTCACCATCACTGAAACGAGCTACAATCAGTCCCAGTTCTCCACAGTCCAGCAGCTGCAGGACTCCAGCACCCTGGAGTCTCAGGCCCTTTCATCCAGCTATCACCCTCCAAATCTGCTTCATGTCCCACCTGCTGAGGTGGTAAGTTATGAGTAGCTTTCCTTCTTTCATTTTAAATACATCATTACATTTTCATTAGTGTGCAATCAACTGAAACTAAAAATCGTGTTTTCACTGGGTTCAAATCAGCCCACTGGATCTGATATAGAGAGACGGCCCAAAATGTTGCGTATTATTTCTACAGTAGCAAATAAAATGCTAAAAACACAATGAGGTCACATGACCTTCTTTCATATACTGTCTGTAGACTCTACCATGCATATGTTATGCATATACTAGTGTCAGTAACCTCATTTATTCCCTGTCCTTGAAAATGCACATGTATTTGTATGCGTTTTAAGTTGAGCCAGTATTGATCTTTTTTTATGCAGACGAATGGGCTTCTTCAGCAGAGCAGTCAAAACGACCTCCAGTTGCCTACAGAGACACAGGAGTACCAGGAAGACTGTGAAGACAACACTAAGAGAGCCTACAGGTGTGTGTGTTTCCATGTACCTATACGAGTGTCTTAAGAAATGACTCCCACCTCTTTAGTGTTTAAATTGCTATCTTTTAAAAACATCATTAGTTTGAATTACAGCTTCCACACTTCCACACTTCCTTGCCTGTCTGTGCACCCATATTTCTCAAAGGCAGGTTTTGCAGTTTGTCTTTTCTAAATTATTTCAGAAATCTGTCAGGATAGACGGAGGTCATTAGCTGAGCTCTAGTCATACGTCTCCTCTCCAGTTTTCTCTGCTTAGGCCAGATGATTAGGGACATTTACTGAGATTACCAAAGCTGTTCTTGTTATATTTGCTACAAGTGACTGTAGTAAATCTTTGCCCATTCTTATGTTGTCCACAATCTGCTCCCTCTATCATCATGACTCACTTCCTCCTGGATTGACTACCTTAAGGCTGATCCATTACAGAAGTGATCTCAACTGTACAATGAGCAGAACCTGGTTTACACCACAGCATTTGGCATTCAGACTGAAGAGTTCAATTTTAATCTCATCAAAGTAGAAAATGTGCCCTTGTGTTGTTTGAGAGCAGTTTTACAGACCACGGGTAATTCGAGGGTAGTGTCAGTCTGCTTGCTCCACCATTTAGAGCTGATTTCTGCAGCACTTACGCCTGATGAGTCTGGGTGCTGCAGGTTTTCTGACATGATCACTGATCATAAACCTCTGCTAGGCTCTCCTGTCCTTATTTCTTGATCTACAGTCTTGTTATTAATTTTGTGTCCCCTAAATCACCCAAACAAATCTGTTTCCAGAGCCTAAAAAGATTAATGATATGAAGTGTTATAAGCAGTGACCTTGAGGAGGCAGATGGTTTATAACTTTGTCCTTAATAACTTTACCTAACTTTGTTATCAGCGTCTTTCAATTTAAACTTTTGCACAGATAAAGCAATAGTATTTACAGAGATTTATTCGCTCATGTGTCTCAGGCTTCTCATTATGTTGAAATGGATTGACATCATTTTTTGTCTACTTATTTTGCCTTATTTATGGATTTAACTGAAATGAAATTCAATATTATTGGTTTTCTAATTTATTTCTAGTTAGACAGTTGGTGACAGTTTGCTGTCTATCCATACAGTCCATAAAGACTGACCAGAGAATAGTTCAGTTTCTAAATAAATCTAAATACTTTAACTGTGGATACTGCTACTGCTACTGGGCCAAACTCTTTTATATTCGAAAAGCTGAGCCTGTAGTTTGTACTAAATTATTCAGTTTAGCTCTGGCAGATGATGTAAAGGCTCACCTGACTGACGAGTGGCCTATCTTTGCAATACAGCCCAGGACCTTTGCTTCATCATGTCCTCTTCCTATGCCCTGCATTTCTTCTCTTTCTTTTATTATCATTATCAGATAATGCCTTATGCTTTTATGTGGTTTAAGGTCACGTTTAAGAGAAGACTAACAGATGTTGCACAAAACCCCCAGTTAAAATAAAACATGTTTGCGAAAGGCAAGGTGCTGTTTTCTTAAGCTGTCTTGTGTGTATGGCCTTTCTCTATTTCACAAAAAACTTTAGGCAGTGTTGATCATACGTCCAGTGAAATATTGCTATGTTATTAAAAATGTATTACACTCCCAGATCTGGTGAATAACAATAATATATAAAGATTCACAGCAATTCATTCATTCATGTTGTTTTTCTTTTTCCATCATCAGGTGCAGTTGGTGCAGTAAAGCCTTTAAAAAGTCAAGCCACTTGAAACAGCACGTGAGATCACACACTGGGGAGAAACCATTCGGATGTAACCTCTGTGGACGAGCCTTTGTATCAGCTGGAGTACTCAAGTCCCATCTGAATACCCATACAGGTGAGCTCGAGGTCGAGTATTCCATGTTTCACAATGGCATCCTAATTAAATTATCTGCACTCTAGTCCTTCAAAAGTGGAATAAGTCTATGAACTAAACATACTAAACATGACATTTCATTTAAATTTTTTAATTTGTAAGTCTTTTCAGGGACTGGCAGTAACAGTAGTGACACCCTAGAGCAGGGGTCGGCAACCTGCGGCTCTTTAGTCCTTAAAGTGCGGTTCCGCGTGGTTTGGGAAAATAAATTAGAAGTATTTAGCTGAAGTGTATTTTATTTATATTAGTTCTTTTTTAACTTGTAGTTCTACATTGGAAGATTATTGTGATATTGAAATATAAAAATAAAATTATATTCTATTATTTTTTCATCGCTCAAAATAAGCGTCACACTCGCGGAAGCCGGTATACCCGCCGAAACGCCGTGCATTTATCGAGACTTTCAACCCCAGGTAGGCCAATTATGGATCTTCAGATCCACATTATGTCAGCAGCTGTTCTCCACCATGAATTATGTTAAAAACAAACACCGCTCACGCCTCACAGAGGACAGCTTACAGTCCTGCGTAAAGATTGAAAGTGACTTCGTACAGCCCCGATTTTCAGACGCTGTGCGCAGAGGTTCAGGAGCAGAAGTCCCATTGTAAACATACCACGGCAGACCCGACGATGTTTCTATGAACATGCTTTTCAGCATCTCTTTATTGACCACTCTTCACACACGGTTGCTGTGTGAAGAGCAACTGTGTGTGAAGCAGAAAAGCTGCCGGCTGCAGCTTTTCAGCTTCATAGTCCGACACACACCAACACAACAGCACAGATAGCACAGACATTAAGGCGGCGAGGCGTGATTGCGGGTGCGCTCAGGTGCGTCTGCCTCCCTTGCAGCGGCGCTGCAGACCACGCCTCGCCACACACATTAACCATGTAAAATACATATTTAGGCAGAATTTTCCAAATATTTTTTTTTCTTTTTAGCAGCATAGTGCTTTTTTTCCAATTATTTTTTAAAAGCCAGGTCAAGGCTCCAAAAGCCCAAAGGTGATATAAGGGTGGTGGCTCACAGCAGTTTTTGTTTGCTACATGGATCATTTTAGTTCCTTTTGTTATATTTCTTTAAGAGTTCAAAATGTGTTAATTACATAAATAAAATGTAATTTTCAGCACTTCATGGATTTCATAAGCAACACACCTTAGTTGTTCACACAAAGCATAAAGGTAAAAAACAATATATACAGTGTTATCTTCATTTTAGATGTCAAAAAGTATTTGCGGCTCCCAGAGTTTTCTTTTGCGTGGAAACCAGGTCCAAATGGCTCCTAGAGGCTGTCACAAGGATCACACAACACCTTATCTCTGTTCTGTCTTCCCAACAGGAGTGAAGCCCTTTAAGTGTAATGTTTGTGACGCCTCCTTCACCACAAATGGCAGCCTGAATCGCCACATGATCATTCACATCAAGTCTTTCAAATGCTCCATGTGTGATGAGAGCTTCCGGACCAGCCTGCTATGTAAGAGGCATATGAAAAAGGAGCACGCCATGGACGATCAAAGTAAGCATTACTGCGTTGAGTTATACTGTATGTATATTAAACTATATGGTCTCTCCATCTTACACTGTTATGCAGAGCTGTACATGCACCACTTTTCCTTCAGTGAAGAGTGCCACATTAATCAAGTACAACATACATTATATCAGGCTTCAGCTTGTCTGAGTGCATCTTTGTCTCAGTCCAAGCTGCCTTGCATCAAAAGAAAGTGTCAACCAAAGATAGAAAGTGAAAACAACTGACTCTGTTATCACAGTTATAGGCCTGGAGTCAAGTCAAGATGTGGAAGAAGAGGAAAATGATGAGGAAAGTGAACAAAAGACATCAAAGAGGAGGGGTATGGAAATTATCACGTTCACTGAAGAGCAGGCGGCCGAATTAGCGAAGGATCCCGGCGAGGAGGCCTCAGTTTCGGAGCGAATACTTTCCCAGTCGGCAGCTGAAAGAGATCGGATCAGTGAGATTAAAGACAAAGCCGTGGAGCTGGAAACCGAACCCAAGTTTGCCAACTGCTGCAATTACTGCCCCAAGAGCTTCAAGAAGCCCAGCGACCTCGTCAGGTAAATGTTGTGCTGCGTATATCAGTTTAGAAGAACTTTGTTTGTCTGCAGTAGTCAAAGTCTGAATTGTGTGAGTGTTGATGGTTGGAGGCTTATAGGACTGTGGACCTTATTTAGTTTTACAGCACTTGTCTGACCTGAATAATGACACAGCATAATAGCATTAACATTGCTACTCACACCCACAGTTGGGCTGTGAAAATGCAGTGGAGATTACATTAACCATCTAAAAGAAATAAGAAACAGCCTTAGATATAAATCATCAAGCTATAATTTAATGCATTAAGTAGATGTTGGATAGATTAAAAGCAAGCAATAGTTTATATGTATGAAGCCAAGGAAAACAAACCAAGGACATCAGAGAGGAGGTCAAAATAAATGCATTTTAAATCTCTTCAAATTCTGCTCCATGTTATTAAAACTGCGCCATAAACACATTTTTTTTTCCATGATCTTTTTCGGTTTCTCAGCTAAAAAACTCACCAGAAAGATAAACTGTATGTCCATGGATGATAACCATTTGTATATATCTATTAATATTAGGGTGTGTCTTTATTTTATAATGCATTTAGTTTGTTTAAAAGAAATGTAATCATCACTTTGATATTCTCATGTGTCCTTGTGCTCTTGCAAGTATAACTATATCAATCCTTTTCAATGTCCAGGCACATCAGGATCCACACAGGAGAGAGGCCTTACAAGTGTGACGAATGTGGGAAAAGTTTTACAGTGAAGTCGACCCTGGACTGCCACGTTAAAACACATACAGGTTAGTGGTTAATCAGTAGAATATGTTGCTGACTTGTTTGTGTCACCACAAACACCAACCTTACCTTAAAGAAGCTGACACAGTAAGATTGAGCTCTGTTAATTCCGTTCGTTTCAATAGACCTAGCTAAGTTAGCCTTTTATTGCCAGTGTCCAGTACTAAAGTGCTAAGCTGTGCTAACAAGATGCTAACTGTTGTATGTAACTGTAAAAAGAAAATAAATGAGTTTTCCACAAGGTTGGGCTATTTTCACAGGAATTTTGTTTGTTATTCATCTGCATGTATAACCCAGCTGTACTCCATTGTTAATAGTAGTCATATATTTGCATAACACTTTTTTTCAAACACACAGTCAAGAATACATTCATACATAACATTAGGTTTTATAAAAATGGCTGTGCATTGTAACAAGATGATGCAGTGCTTTAGTCATTTAAAATAAGAGCATGGACCAAAAAGGGCCCTGATCTAATGATTAGAGAGACCAACTGCTGGAATAGTCTCAGCAGATCGGCTTATACAGCTCATCTACTGAGAACTTGACATTTGTAGCCATTTAGATGTGATTAATAGCATCTTAAAATGCATTGTGAATTTTACAGGACAACGAGATCACTGAAAAGTGCATGCCTAAAGCAAGTTAATCAAGATAAGAGAAAAAGAAGAAAAATTGTTTATTAAAAGTAGTAAAAGTCATTGGCTGACATTAAAGGTTTGACGTTTTTCTCTTTCTCAGATCAAAGAACCAAGACTAGATTCAAGATTCAAAATTCACACGCTGGTCAAAAATAAGCCTGCTCTTTGATGACACTGATAACACACAAAGAAAACAGATGATTGCAAAGCCAATTGGTGCACCCTGCGGTTTTTAAAGAGCAACAATTCATTTTCAGTTTGCCGCACATAACATCGTCTTTGTTTCTTATTCAGGTCAGAAGCTTTTCAGCTGTCATATGTGCAACACCTCCTTCTCTACAAAGGGGAGCCTGAAGGTGCACATGCGCCTCCACACCGGCTCCAAGCCCTTCAAGTGTCCCTTCTGCGAACTCCGCTTCAGAACTTCGGGTCACCGCAAAACACACATCCAGTGTCACTTCCGTCCAAACGGCGACGGCCGCAAATCCAAGCGCTCTTCCTCGTCCTCCAGTCAGGCCAGACAGGGTCAAGACCCAGCGACTGGGCAGGGTGTGGCTCCAAGTCAGGGGCAGCAGCCAACGGGATCAGAGGCTCTTCAGTCTGTGGGGCTGCTGCAAACACCCAGCGCTGACCCCAGCATTTACCTCCCAGCTAACCAGGTCCTCACAGGGCAGTTTGACCAGAATCTACTGCAGTCAGGACTAGTAGGACAGGCCCTCCTGCCCGCCTCCATGTCAGGTAGGGATAATTAATGAGCCATTACTTTAATGCTGTAAAAGAGAGAATTGCAGCAAGAACAATGGTGTTTTGTTTATAACCCACCTTTGATTTTAACTGACAGGTCCTAATGTTTTCAGTAAAGCACCATAAGAGCACGAAATGAGTGAAGACTGGTGCCCAAATTTTAATATCCAAGATATCACTGTGCAGTATTATTGACGACCCACTGGCAACACATTTCTTGTGAATGCCACAAAGAGTTACACGTTGCTTGGTAGAAATGATAGGTGTATGATTAATGCGCCAACAGTTGGTTGTTGTCAGCAGTTGTGACAGGAATGCCCCAGAGGATCATCATTTGTAGTGGCGTCTCATTGCTTCATATTCAGTTGGCAACATCAAGGGCAAAAAAGGGTTACACCGATGTCAAGCAGACAAAAACACGCCTTCATTAAAGCCCCAGCGCAGTGCGTGGTTGTTTTTGAAGGAAATCGGTCTTTATGTGATGAGAAAAATCTATCAAAGCATCTCCAAACATTCACAGTGATCGAATAAAAGAAAAGGGAAACAACAAATGATGCAGGGACGTCATTGTGATTATTAATTGGGTTTTTGGAAGAGCTCTGATTTCTAAATGCAGCACTGCAGTCAAACATTCGCTAAAATGTTTGAGACGATTAGGTTGATGAAGTCTGGCAACATATAAATTTACTTTTCCCACCCTTCACCTGGAGCAGGACAGTGGAGTATTCAGGATTCCTTTCCCCCCCATGTCTCGCTGTCTCTCAGTGACAGTGTACATGCCACTGAAAGCAAACCTCCTCAACCTCTCTCTTTCATCATCTGGGGAATAACTGGATCCAGATTTTTCTTTGTTGTCTGTCAGTCTTTAGCAGGCAAGTTTCATTAGATATTCTGCTCTCATAGAGATTTTTCCACTCCAGAAGAAACCATTAGGGTAGCTATGGTAGCTCAGAAACCTGCATACAATGTGTTGGAGGTCATGATCTTTGACATCTAATGTAAAATTAAGTTATCTGAAATCAGGGGTATCCTTATGTCTTGTTTTAAAGTTGTGTTTCAACATAGAAAACTTTTAACTCACATTTTCCTGCTAAGAACTGTTATCCATTAACCGTTAATTATAGTCTTATTCGCACGGTCCTAATCCTGTATTATTACATAGCTACTCTCCCGTCAAACATTTACATATGTTTGTGTCTGTGTGTGTGCTTCAGCTGCAGGAGACTTGACCGTGTCACTCCCAGATGGCCTTACCACGCTGGACGGCATCCACTTGCAGCTGACGCCCGCCAACCTGGTGTGTCCCAACGTCCAGATCTCCGGCATCGACACCAGCAACATCAACAACATCACACTACAGGTTACACATCACCCCTGCAGAACTCTGTGTTATTATCCATATTACTATCCGTGTCTAGCTAGCCTAATGTAGGTTGAGATGTGCCCCGAAGAAAACGTGTTTGAGTAATGGTTATTGAAATAGTGTAAGCTATTGGAGGGTGAGTGGTGGCAGGGTGGCAGTCATGCTTCTGAGTCAATGCTTCTGAGTAATCGACAGGGAGGCACATCCTATAGTGATACATGCTAGGAATGAGAACAGTGTCAGTCAACAAAGTCGTACATAAAACTTTGAAAATGTTTAAAAGCATTGAAAGGAAATCTTATCATTACTTTATTCCATAATGTAAAAGAAAAGAAAATCCTTACATTGTTGCTGATTCCCCCACACATGCTCTCCTTCATTTTCAAGTTAAGTAATACTCTCTCCTTTCAGATTGATCCCGCCCTCCTGCAGCAGACTCTACAGCAAGGCGGCCTCCTCTCACAGCCCCTGAGTGTTGACACAGGTCTGGTCTCCCACTCAGGGAGCCAGCTCATGTCTACGACTGACACCTCAGTGTCTGCCAACGTTGTCATCCACCCACTGACCAGCCTGGCCTTGCAGCCCTCCACTATCACACCTGCGCAGGTCACAATGGCTGGACTATCTGAGCAGGATGCTGCCAGTATGTATGACAGCTATAAGTGAAAAAAAACATACAGAGTGGCCACATTGTGCTAGGAGGTCACCATCTGTGTTGTGTTGCTGTGGGTTGTGCAGGTTCTCAGGACCTAAGCAATGTCATGGGCAGCTCTGGGCTAGTGGCAGGTGGCAACAGCGGTCAGGAGATCACCCTGACCATCAACAACTCCAGCCTGACACAAGCTCTTGCTCAAGTCCAGGCTTCAGCTGCTGGCTCTGGCACAGCAGGAGGAAATCCTCAGGAGATCACCCTCACCATATCAGGTAGAAACAAAAATATCAAAAAATATACAGCTCTGCTGAACATGTTTTTTAGTAAAGACAGAAAGGGGCTATTGATAACAAACATGGGAAAATAATAATAAAAAAAGCTCTCAACTATCAGTATTGATTTTCTCTCTCGGGCAAACACACTAGCAGGCAAAGAGGAAAAAATGAAGCCAATAATAACTCAGAGTCACTTCACAAACCCAGATCTAAAGACACTCTATTAGAGGGCATTTTCAGCTTTTGTATACACCATCAGCATCTCCCATTTGGCTGTATCATCTGGGGATATAAAGTACATTGCATCAACAATGTGAAGGAGGGATGTAGCTGTATCACTAAGCCTGCTAAGTCTACTCAGCTCAGCTCAATCTCTTTCATTTCAGCCCTCTGACTTATTGTATCGTGATTTCAGTCTTTCAGATTAAAGCTTTAAGAAGCTATTCTCATTTTAAGTTTTTTATTTATGAATAAGTGCAGTCATAAAAACAGCATTGTATGCAGTTCCATCAAAAATAAGATATTTTCCTGCCAAGGCAGCAGAAATTGTTGGGCTGGAAATTCATCGTCTTAAGAGAGAAAAATGTTATCAGTCATATTCTTCTTATTTTAGTGTGACAATATGTTTGGTTAATAAAAGTTAAGCACTTATTAAACTACACTGTATGTGGCATTGCATGACATATTAATCATGTGTAAAACCTAACTCAATTAACCCTGAAGGAATTTTGTTGAGTTACTTTGTTTGAATCTTACTTTGTTATTTTGTTTGCGTTTGACCACCCTTCAAAATATGAAATACATTTCAGAAAACACTTAGCATCTTTATAATAGAAGCAAATAACCTCATGAAAATAATTAAAGCTCATGTTCTACAACACAATTGCAGGTCAGGATCTGCTCCCCCAGCCAAACAATCCCAGTGCTGCTGAGATGAACGGCAGCATCAGGCTAGCGTCACCGCTTACCGGCCAAACCACGAGTGCAACTCTGACCATCACCAATGACCACCTGCTACCTCAAAGCCCCGCCAATGCTGGAAATGCTGGTAAGACTATACCCGTCTTCTAACCGCGTGTGATAAGAGAGTTGCATTCTTTCCAAACGATTTTTACAGCTTACTTCAAATATGCATCTGCATGTAATATTGCCCTGGTCATGAAAGACATGCATGACCAGAGAAGATCCTGAATTTGACTTGCACCTTCTTCTTTTGGCTTCACAAAGTTTCACAAAAGCCATTTTTTCAAAAGCTAAAATACAGTAGCTGGCGTGACTTGCAGACTTGCATTTGCTCTCCATGAGCTGAAAAAGATATGCCTGTTTATCAGACTCCTATAAAGGCTGTTATGTTTTTCCTCCACGCTGTTTACACTCTCTCAGCCCTGAAGCATCCCTTCTGTGCTGCTGCACATACTCTTTCGTTCATCCTCTTATGACTTGCAACTGCCAACATTTTGTTTTCATTCAAATTTTGTTCAGGTTCCCAACAGGTTTCCTTTTACTTTTTTTTTGCAATATGACAAGACTTTTGGGTTTCAGAGAAACTAAACTTCATTAGAAGTAGAGGGTTCTACTTCACCAGCACAAACTGTGAGAGGTCCCCCAACTGTGGAGAGATCAAAGTGCACGAGGAAAGCTGCCAGATAGATTTTCAATCCTGAGAAACCCTAATTGCCTGCCATGTCCAGATCACTCAAGAGATATTAAACAATTGCTATGACAGAAATGAAGTTTGAACTTTTCTGCTCTCTAACAGGGAGCGTGCCAGAAAAATTGCAACTCAGGGTTGTGGGGGGTTTTTTGCAGCACGGTGGCACGGTGGTTAGCACTTTTCCCGCACAGCACGAAGGTCCTGAGTTCAATTCCACCATCAGGCCGGGGTCTTTCTGTGAGGAGTGTGCATGTTCTCCCCGTGTTTGGACGGTGGGAGGAAGCCGGAGTAACCGGAGAGGACCCACGCAAAGACATGCAGCTTGTGGGGATAGGTTAATTGGTTAATCCAAATTGC